CCCCCCCCATCTTTGATGTTCATATTCTTCAGGGCATTTTGCACTAATGCTTCCTTTCCGTAATAGAACATCATGTATTTTAGTGAAGTCCGAAATAGCTGACTCAGGCAAAAAAAATGACATTTTTCTCCTTTTTTTAAAGAAAGGTACAATTATACTGGAAGATATTTTTTCCCCATTTTCGTATTTATTTTGAATCTTCTCACTTACAGGTGTTTGAAGCAAATGTGTACTTCATATTTTTGTGAAATACAAATCTTTCCACTTTACAAGGTGATATGCTACTACAATGAGTGTATTCAGAAAATGTCATTTAAACAAATGACCTACCTACACGAGTTTGTATAAATCTATAACTCAAGGCATATTTCTTTGGAACATGCATTGGTAGTATAAGATAGCATTAGTATCTAGAACATACAGCCCATACATCTTCATACAGGGCGTGAATATATGAACCATAAGTGGTCCTAACAAGTACCAACAGGAATCAAATCCACTTGTAAAAACAAATGGCTTGATTCCATACAAAGCTTCCAGTACAACAAGTATTATTAACTTCCTTTGAGGCTTTGTGAGTGAGCCTGTTTCTTATTTTAAATTCAAGTTGCAATTTTCTGATTCACTCCTTGACAGTTCTTAATGATAATTTCTGCTTCTTTTTTTGGCTAATGAAAAAAGGAAAAGAGGGAAATGAATGCAGTGCCAGTCAGCCTAACTGTTTCATAATACATTTGAGTTTCTAAGTTTATTTTCTGCAGGTGTAGGTGGAATTGCAAACCCCAATGTTAGTGCAGTACTCTTTCTACTGCAAAATATAATATTTACAGCACCATTAAAAAAATTTTGTCTCCATTACTACATTGTAATAGTTTCTATCTCTGTAGCTCCCACAGTATTTGTAATTAAGCTATGACAGTAAATATTTGTCAGACCAAGTTCACAGCAGTATTATGACAGACACTAGTAGAGTTTCAGTTGTTTCAGAAACATGCACTACATATGAGTGAATAGTCAAGGATTGTATTCCCTGTGAAATGAAACCCCTGCATTCTTCTTCACTCACCGAGTTTTCTCCAAGAGAATGTCTGCTTTTCCTTGTGTGAACCACAGTCAGTTCAGATACAAAGTACAGGAAGCTGAAGAATGATTAGTTCTGGATTTTTTTTTTAGGGTGACAGTGAGAAACTTCCAGAGAAGGACACAGGTTTCTTTTTTTAATTTATTTTAATTTTTAAAAAAGTATGCCTTGTTCATGATGAGTGATAACAGGACTAGTAAGTGGTTTGTGCAAGAATGTTGCATCTGCTGTGGATTAATGCAGACACAATATTACTACAGTGGTGGTAACCACTACTGTGGTAACCTGCAGGAGATGACAGGAAGATTTTGTGCAGTTCATCATGGTAGGGTGGGAAAATAGCATCCTTGTATTCTCTATGCTTCTGAACCTGCAGATGTCCTAGTAATTACATTCTGGTCTTTTAGTTCAGGTAGATATGTTTTATGGAAGAAACAACAAGCATAGGTTCTTGAGTAGTGTTGCATGTAAATGAAGTTAATTTAAAACTGAATTATCAGATTTTATGCCTACTGAAGAGCATTTGGGAGTAGTGAATGGCAGTGTGGCTTGTATGGATGACTTCTTCCATGTAGAAATGACCAAGGGAACAAGTTAAGGCAGGAGGTGAATTCTTAGGCATTGTTTCTCTTAGGAAAAATTTGCACCCTCTCCTTTTCCTGGGATGCTTACATTCCCTTCCCATTAGAGCTGGAATGCAATGCCAGCCTTGCAGGTAGATCTCCCACAGCGCTATCCCTGAGGGGACAGAACTGTGGAATTTTACCCTGGAATGATTCCAGATGTTACAGCAGACAATACCCTTTATTCAAAATGTTTGTGTTTACTGTAGTCAGAATGGCTTCCATGTAACAGTAAGAATGGTAAGAGTAAATTAGAGTACAAGCAATATGTCGCTAATACTCATGAAAGAACAGAGAACTCTACCTAAGCCTCCTTTGTATTACTGTGGTAGGATGTCAGTCTTGCTACTGGTTTGAAGCTGGTGCATTTCCTGTTTACCTTTTCTGTTGAGAGAAGATACTGAAAGCAAAGAACATGGTGGTGGGGACAGGTCTTAGAGCTAGTATTAATAGGTGGGGGTTGGTTTTGTTTCTTTGCTTGTTGCTATTCTACAATGCAAGTGATCCTGATGGGAGCACTTGGCATGACCATAAGCAAAATGTTTGCTACTGAGAAGGTGATACAGCCACTAATCATGGCCTGTGAAGATCTTTGGGAAATAGAATGTGGCTCAAGTCCTTTACATGACCTCTCTAACTTGTGTCCTAGATTTCGCCGCCAGCTCTCTGAACCTTGCAATTCTTTCCCACCTTTGCCTGCAATGCCAAGGGAAGGACGTCCAATATATCAGCGCCAGATGTCTGAGCCAAACATCCCCTTCCCACCTCAAGGTTTTAAGCAGGAGTACCACGATCCAGTTTATGAACACAACGCTATGGTTGGCAGTGCAGCCAGTCAAAATTTTCCTCCTCCTCTGATGATTAAACAGGAACCTAGAGATTTTGCATATGATTCAGGTAGGTGGGACTCTCCTTTAGTTCTGCATAGTAAAGTAATAAGTGAGTCCAAGCCAATGCTATTGATATTTTGATTGTATGAATTAAAACTTGCTCTTTTGGCTTCTAAGTCTCCTGAAGTAATTTATATCTGAGATAGCTCACGAAGTAATAAGATTGCTACATAGTACAGTGTGACTTGTGCCACCATTGCTTGCCCTGTAAAGGATTTCATTTTCTAGAACTCTCTGTCCAGAAAGTGCACAGGTTAAAGAAGCCAGAGAAGAACAAATCATGAGTGCAGAATTGAGCTTTGCTTAAGAGGGGGCTTGTTCTGTACTATCTCGTCTCTGACCTCTGAATTTGTGTGCTCCGTTTTACGAGCTCTTTCATTTGTCTGCCAGAAATAGAGGACTCTTTCTCTTCTTGCTTGCACTACTTTAAATCAGGAGTAACTCCGCTGAAGTGGGGTTTATACAGCTATAAAACCAATGAGGGAGAAGAATCAGCCAAATTGGTGTCAGCTTCTCAGTTTGTGCATACTGCTGTGTTTTGTGGAGGTGCATAATCTGTGATGCCAGGTTGCTGATGTAGAGAATACGCTGCTGCTATTAATAATGTTTATTATGATTGTGCTTATAGGACAACTGGAATGGAACCTTATTGCTCTACAGACAGTACAAAACAGAGGAGGTGGTAGCAGAGCCTGCTCTCAATAGCTTCTGGTCAAAACAGAAAAGATAAGCAATAGAAAGGATAAAAACATAAATCAAGGGAATAACATTGTAAATATTTGCCACAATTTAAACATAACATTTATATTATACTTGGGAAAATAGAGAGAGACTTGGGAAAGAAAAAAAGGAGTTTAGTAATGATTACCAAGTAGCAAGGAGAAGGAAGATGGAAGGTTGGTATGGAGGGAAGCTGAGATTAAATAGCATGGAGTGGGCTAGGTGGGGAAAACAGTTAATCCCTATGGAGCCAAGAAAATGCAGTCAAAACATGTTTTTCAGTTTTGGTGTAAGTGATTTCTGCAGCTCCTCTTCAGTCTCTGCCTCTGTCCTGCTTTGTGTATGCCACACGGTTGAAAGAGAGGGCTTTCAGCGAGTCCTTACCGTGCTTCTGGAGGGGAGGGTACATTGTGTTCATACGCATGCACGCTTAGTTCGGTGGGGGGAATGGGTGGCCCTGACTTCAGTCTGACTCTCCCTTCTTCTGGGTGCTGCAGTACCTGCAGTGCTTTCCTGCTGCTTCAGTTTCTGGCTAGATACTTTTGCAGTTTAATTCCCAAAGGCTACATGGCAGCTGAGTTGAGGTCTCCTTTGAAAGTTTAGCCCATGACAAACTATCTTGCAATTTGATATAGTGGAGAACTGGTTTTTATTGTCTTTTCTGTAGCTAACTTAACATTGTCTATTTAGTGGGGTATTTTGTGGTATTGTTAATGTGAAGTGTTTGTTTTAGAGTTGATCTCTATGTTAGAACAAGGGAATTTGGAAAGTAGAGCTGCTTTCTCTTTTCTTATTCTTGACAAGCACAGAACCAATCTGTAGGTAAATTTGAGTTAGGCCTATACAGGGAGGGGGCCAAGGGTGAAATATTTCTCCAAGTTGAAATACAAGACAAGATGAAAATGAGTTCAGATTACAAGGATCAGATCTAGAACTAAACCTGTTCATTGATGAAGGCTCTGAGATACTTGCCTTTGGCAGTCGTGTATCTTCAGCCTTACACAGCAGCATGGGAGAGACTGTCTGCATAGTTAATGTGGCGATGGATAATAAATGGGGGACTGCAGCTTCAGGCACTGCCAGTCCCTTGCAACCTTCACAAGCACCGTTATTCATCCTGCTAAATTAAAGGCTGAAAAAAGGCCCTTTTGTAAGCATGCTTCATATTTGGCTAGGAATTGAGATCTCCTTATTGCATACTATTACTTTAAATCTGGGTTGGCTGCTAGCATTCATCTTTCTTTGGAATATTCTTTATGGAAAAAAGTAGGAAATTTCATTCTGAAAGAAAGATGTGCAAACTTGTATCCAGTCCTGTCATGTCTTTTTTTTTGTGCCAGCAAGAACAACATTCCACTTTATAGTAATGACGTTCAAGCAAAATTGTTGTTTCTTTTGTAGATGAATAATTAGTTTTTAAAAATGTAATAGCTATGTAACCAGTGGTCATGAAAAATTAATCTGTTGGTATCAGGAAGTACTTTTATTGGCCTCAGAATTACTGCATTTAAGTTGACACATCTGTACACTCCATAAATTGCAGTCAACAACTGTGGTCTGCTGATATTTTGTCTTGTTACCATCTGTTCTCTAGAAACCATCATTTTCCATCCTTGCTAAGAGTACATTAAATAACCCCTTAGGAAACATAATGTATTTGTCACTGAATCATTGATTTCATTTTTCACCTATGGATGTTCAGGGAAGGAGGAATGCCAGAATGAAAAGTCTTTTTTGCCTGGTATTTTATTGCAGCGCAGATAAGAATATAGAAGCATATTTCAAAAGTTCATTGTAATACACCAATTCCTTTTGGGAATGTTTTCCTTTTGGGATGTTTTTGAAAGAGCCTCATGAAAGTTCTTTGCTTTTGTGCACTATACTTTTAGACTTTGTGGGAAGCTGGTGAATGAAAAGCATTATTATGGAATGATTATAACTCTATTAAAACATGATGTTAATTATGATATGGGAAATGGCAGATCAATTAGTTGTAATTGTAATTGCAGGTATGCAATTTCTACTGCAGAATGTTTGAGATAATGGAAAAAGAAAAATGTCAACAGAGCAGAAGCTCTTCCTTATCCATCCACACTTCTGGAAGTCACAGTGCATCATACATGTTCAATCAATCACAGCTTATTTTCTGCCATGGATTTTTTTTTTTTTTTCATGGCTGCCAGTCAGATGTATTTAGTACTTGATGCTATATCTAGCAACTTTAAGCACAAAGATGCAACCAAGGACATACAGAGCTTTAGGATTTTGCATCATTAATGAATATACTTCAGAAGGCTTCCCAAGATCTTTGTTTACAAGGGCTAATAGCAGGCATTCATTAGCACTTCCAGAATTCAGTTCATGTATGCAGGTACTTAAACAAAAAGGCCAAACTTTGAAACACCTCATCTATTCTGGGCTTTATTTTTAAGTAGGATCTTTGCAGCCTTGATCATCCCTCCTTAATGTAGTGTATTTGCAGATACACAAAGGTACAACTCTAGCTATGTGTGTATCAATTAGTACTAAAATCTAGTTTTAAAATGACATATTATTAAGTTTAAATCTCATATTTTGTTTTGCCCAATTGAAATAGTTATTTTGGTTGGAAAGTTCTTTTGTGGCCATGTCTTTGGGAACTTTGAAATTTGTTGCATGATGGTGTTAGAGATAGTAGAGGACACATGGTAGTAGAGGAGGAATTGTTGCTTGCATATACTTATTACTGATTGCCAGGAATTTATCTGTTGAAATCTAGATAGATTCAGTCTTCCCTAAGCAGTTTAGAGGCATTAGTAGGGCTGTTCTCACAGTTACATTTTAGGGTAGCCTCACAATTAGTACGCCTGAACGGACCTTAGAAAATCTGGATTCTTTCCCTGTCACTTCCAGAGTTTCCTTGTAAGCTACTAGTCGAATCACTTAAAGAATGAACTATCCAGACAGAATTGCTAGCCTTCATATCTTGCTTTCTGAGTTGCTCATCTCTTTAATTCCTGAGACCTCACAAACAATAAATACCTTGTATTGGCATGTGAGAATTGATGGAGAACTGCCCCTCTGTTAAGAGAGATGAGCGGAGGCAGAGAGACACATCAGAGATAGATAGATAGATAGATAGATACCTATTTATTTTGGGTACCCAGTTAGGACTGGATGATTCTTAAAGAACGTTATGTATTATATACGTTCAAAGGTTAGCTTCTAAGGACTTTCTCTGTATTTCTAGGCGAGGAAGTATGGGAACATCACGTTAGGGTCCCTGTGTAAGTACTGCAAAAATAAGAAATACGAAATACGAAAAATCTGGCAGAAGCAATGTGACTACTTCGGAAAACTTCATTGGGGCTGGAATGGGCTTTGATGGGGCCTAAAATTGACCATTCAGCTGTATTAATCTTGAGGTCATCTTTTCCTTTCTTAAAACGTTCTACCTCATTAAGTACACAACTTCCAGCCTTTGTAGCAAATGAAGCAGGGGCTCCACCTGCAAAGCTGTTTACAGCATGGCTCTCCTTCCTCCAAACTGTTTTGACCTGTGCACTCAAGAGACAAGTGCTGAGGCAAAAGGCTGTATCATAATTCATTTGCAACAAAGGAGTTGTGTCGAGGTTGCGCAGGAAGTTGTAATCACGACACTTCTTAACCTCCAAAGTTTGGTCTTATTAGGTATTAGGATGTTGTTAACATTCTACCATTCGTGTTATAAATGTGTATTTACCTAGTGACTGGGAATGGAATAAAAAGCAAGAGTCCTTTCAAATATCTGATGTGGTGGTTTATGAAAAGCTAATCAATGTGAGTTAACGTGGAAAAAGATCCCTGGTTAGCATATCCTTCCTTAGAGATAAGCTGACACGTCCTTAGATTTGGGAGTTTGTAGAACAGCATAAGGGAATGTGTTGAATTAAAATTTCAAGGGAAAAAAGAATTAAATTTATTTCTCGGAAGTATATTTATTTGCAGATTGCTTTTTTCCCCCCTTTTTTAAACAACAGTTGGATATTCTATTGTACTTCTTCAAGGTAAAGTTTAGATGTTTGGAGATGCTACTATGAATGAAAAAAGGAAATCTTAGCTGTCAGAGTCAGTGCAGGTTTGCTTTTTCCAGGATATTCTCTAGTGCATTGACCAGTGCAGCATATAAAATGACACAACTCATGGTGCTTCTACTACTGTCTTTAATTACAGTCTTTTTGTACAGTGCTTTGAAAACATAAAGCACTGTATGAGTCCTAAGTATTATTACTACAATTATTCCCCTGGGAGATTATTTCAGAGACTAAT